CTTATGTAAATGATCATATTACCTGCAAATAAGAGCAAGTTTGTTTTCTCTGTTCCTATCATATCATTTTATTACTTTTTCTCCCTTTATTGCTAAGTCTAGGACTGCCAACTCAATATTGAATAGAATTAGCAAAATAAGCACATTTGCCTTTCCCTGATTTTAGTATAATATCATTTAATGTTTCATCATTAAGTATGATGTCAGTAGTAAGATTTTTTTCATAAATGCTCTTCGTAAATATGAAGGACTCTTATATTCTTAGTTTTATGAGAATTTTTCTTACAAGTGGTTGTTGGGTTTTGTTGTATTTTTTTCTCCACATATAAAAATGGACATACGATTTTTCTCCTTTATCCTATTAATATGGTGAGTCATTAATTTCTGGGATAAACTCTAATTGGTTATGATGTATTGTTTTTAAAAATTGTTTTATGTATTTTAGGGTTTGATTTGCTAATATTTTGTTAAGTATTTTAATGTCTACATTAAGGAGGGATATTAGTTCATAATTTCCCTTTTTGTAAAGTTTGTCAGATTTTAATATTAAGGTCTTGCTGGTGTCATTAAAACAGTTAGAAAGTATTCTTTGTTTAGTATTTTCTAAAAAAAAAGCTTATGTAAATTTTATTTCTACCTTATATGTTTGATAGAATTCATCAGTGAAACTTTCTGAGCCTGGAGTTTTCTTTGTATGAAGGCTTCTGATAGTTATAGAGTTACTATTGGTTTCCTAGTCTATCTTGGGTCACTTTTGGTAAATTGTATTTTTCAAAGAACTCGTCCAGTTTATCATAGTTATCATGTTTGTTGAAACCAAGTTGTTTATAATATTTTCTTATGATGCTTTAAATATACACAAGATTTTTAGTCTTTTATTTTCTTGACAGCATAACTCAGCGTTGATTTATTTTCCTAAGTTTTTCAAAGAGCGAGCTTTCAGTTTTGTCTATGTTTTCTGTTTCTTTAATTTCCACTAATACTTGCTTTCTATCTTCTTATGTATGTTCACTTTCCTTTGATTTTCTTTTCCTAGCTTCTTGTTGTAAGCACTTATGTGATTAAATTTAGGCTGTTCCTTGTTTCCCATATAAGCAATTAGAGCTGTAGACTTCTGTCTAAGCATTCATTTAGCTGCACCTTAGTTTTTTTTTTTTTGTTTGTTTGTTTTGTTTTTAAAGTTTTTTGTCATAGGGCACATGCTCTTGCTGAAAAGAGAGAGAGGGAAAATGAGAAGTCATCCCCTAGGGTGATGGCCACACTGCAGTCCCTTCTCCTCCATTCTCCTCTCAGGATTTTGGGGATGCATGCACACGTGTCTGGTGTGATTTTCAAGCAGCAGTGTCTGGGGCCAGAACTGTGGTCAGCCATGTGGGAGTCCAGTGCCCCAGTTGCTATGCCATCTGCTGGCACCACATCCTATATTTTTGATAAGTTGCATTTTCATTACTTTTCAGCAGAAAATATTTCCCAGATTCTATGGGGTTTCTGTTTTGGCCCATGGGAACACTCCATGTGGTTGCAAATCTTTTAAATTTAGTTAAGACTTCTTATATGGTACAGCATAAGGTTTATCTTGGTGAATGGACCAAGTACACTTGGGAAAAAAAATGTGTATTCTACCATTGTTAGGTATTGTATTCTATCAAAATCAGTTATATCAGGGTGATTGTTTTGTGTTTTAGATCTGTACTTCTACTGCTATTTTGTCTAGTAGTTATATTAATTGCTGAGTAGGGAATGTTAAATTATCCCACAGTGATTTTGTTAGGGCCTATTTCGTCTTTCTTTCTCTCTCTCGTTCTCCCTTTTTTCTTTCTTTTCCTTTCTCTCTCTCTCTCTTTCTTTCTTTTGTGTGTGTGCACACCAGAGGGAGTGTGCACTTACCAAAGAGAGACAGAGAGAGAGGGAAAGTGAGAAAATTCCCTCCATGGGGAATGGTCACGCTGCAATCCCTTCTCCTCCACTTCTCCTAGCTTTTGGGACTTTGGGCACACACGTGCATGTGCTCAGTGTGATTTTCAAGCCATTGGGTCTGAGACTTGAACTGCACGGTCATGTGGGATCCAGCTGCTCCAACCACCACACCACCAGCTGGCCCTCTTTCGTTCATTTTTGTTTAGTCTCCAGAAGTGGAGACAAGAAATTTCTGTGGTTCAAGCCATCTGATCTGTGGTACTTTTTTTTCTTTTTGGAGAGATTTTTGCTATAGGGCGCGTGCGCTCGCCAGAGAGAGACAGAGGAACAGAAAGCAAGAAATCACCCCCCAGGGGGGATGGCCACGCCACAATCCCTTCTCCTCCATTCTCCTCTTGGGATCTTGGGCATGCACGCACACGCGCCTGGCGTGAGTTTAAGCCACGGGGTCCGGGACTCGAACCACGGTCGACTACGTGGGAGTCCAGCGACATAGCCATTACGCTAACTGCTGGTCCCTGATCTGTGGTACTTTTTACAGCAGTCCTCGGGAATGAAATGCACTTGGGGACCAGCCTGGGATGTCCTATTGGAAAAGGCCAGTGGGCTACACAGGTGGACCCGAAAGGCCGACAGCGCGAGATCTGCAATAGCCAGGTGCTCTGTCCTCTACTGCTGGAAGGAGGCGACGGTGACGACGCTGGCGTGTCTCAAGGACCTTACCAGTGTTTGTCAGCGAGCTGCTGCTCACATGTGCTGAAGGACTTTTCGTCTCAGTCCTACTTTTGACAAAAGAGGAAGTGTGGGTAAGGTTTTCATGACACAAGTCGGGTCACATGGCGGTCTGGTCGGTAAAGTAGGAAGAACTTTGAAGCTTCCTAGCTTATGGTCTTAGTGACTTGCTGATGGGAATTCTCTGGTTCTCAGTAAGATGTTAGTAAGAATATGGTTGGGTGACTGGCGTGTGGTAGAAGCCAACATTGTGTCTATTACTGTCAGCATTTAACTCTGGAAAGAGATTGTTTTCCTTAAGTTAGTAGTGAGAGAGAGAGTCTGGCTCTTGACATTTACATATTTGTGGTACTTAATAAAGTGTTTTTGTTTATTTTTAAATTTTTTTTCTTTTTTCCTATAGGGCGCCTGTGCTCTCTGGAGAGAGACCAGAAAGAGAGAGAAAGTGAGAAGTCAACCCCCCACCCCCAAACACACAGGGAGAATGGTCATACCACAGTCCCTTCTCCATTCTCCTCTTGGGATTTTGGTACACAAGCACACACACCCAGCATGATTTTCAAGCCACTGGGTCTAGGACTTGAACCTCAAAGATGTCCATGTGGGATCTAGTGCTTTAACCTCTGCCCCACATGTGGGTCCTAATTTTTCTTTTTTTAAGAATTATTTATTTATTCATTAATTTATTTTAATTTGACCACACACACACAGACAGGGAAAGTGAGAAATCACACCACCAGGTCCGAGACTCCAATCGTGGTCAGCCATGTGGGAGTGTCCAGCACTTTAACCACCACGCCACCTGCTGGTCCCAATGGCCCAAGTATTTTTAATGTTAGGGCTGAGCATGCTGCCTCTGGCAATTTAGTCAATATTATTAATAAATCACCACTGAAAAGAATACGTCTTCACTATCTGGTGGCAAGGCCACACAAAAATATTTCTACAACAAATCAAAAGCGGGGACCTAGTTGGTGGCAATATGGCTAAATGCACCAAGAAGGCCGGCATCGTCGGTAAATACTGGACCCACTATGGTGCCTCCCTCCGGAAAATGGTGAAGAAAATTGAAACCAGCCTGCATGCTTTGCTCCTTCTGTGGCAAAACTAGGATGAAGAGACGGGCTGTGGGGACCTGGCCCTGTGGTTCCTGCATGAACACGGTAGCCGGTGGTGCCTGGACCTGCACCACCACTTCGGCCGTCACAGTGAAGTCTGCCATCAGAAGACTAAAGAGCTGAAAGACCAGGAGAAGCTCCACAGACATTTGGAATATCACTAGCCTGCAGTAAGTGGGTTAATTTATGTAACAACAACAACAAAGAAGTGTGCACCATGTTTTTATAGAAAAAAATTAAGGAAGATTGAAGTTTGATATCGCTAGGATACTGGAGGTTTATATATATATACTTTTTTTTTTTAAGAGGTTTTTGCTATAGGGTGCGTGCACTCACCAGAAAGACAGAGACAGAGAGAGACAGAAAGCGAGAAATCGCCCCCCAGGAGGAATGGCCATGCTGCAATCCCTTCTCCTCCATTCTCCTCTTAGAATCTTGGGCATGCATGCACACATGCCCAGTGTGAGTTTAAGCCACTGGGTCCAGGACTCGAACTGTGGTTGACTCCATGGGAGTCCAGCAACGTAGCCATTACACTATCTGTTGGTCCCATGGATAAATATCTTAACATTGAACAGTCAAGTTCTAACATATTGCAAACAGTTTAACATGCACTTACTAATTTCCAAGCAAACTAAGAATTATAAGACATGTAAATGTGCTGAAAAATTTAATTCACCAGGAATGGGAACTATAATGCTTTGCCGTATTACCTTGTATTTGCATACTATATAAGACATGTAAATGTGCTGAAAAGTTTAACTCACCAGGAATGGGAACTATAATGTTTTGCCGTATTATCTTGTATTTGCATACTTAATTTTTCTGGCCTCTGAATGATGACTACTTGCTGAAAAAATAGCTTAAAGTGAGTACTTTTTTTTTAAAGTAAATTAAATTTAATAATTTATTTTTTTTAATGAATAAGAGAGAAGGAGAGCACCCCCCATTGAGAGAGTCTTTCTGCTCTGGTCCACCACAGCCCCAGCCAGCCCTGAAGTGTGTACATGCCTGGCATATTCAGGAAGGTCTCTGGACACGAACCTGCAGTCCTCCCACGTGGGTCAATTGTGCCTTCATATGGCCCCAAGTGTTGTCTTTGTTAAGGTTTTGCGAACTTCCGGAAAACAAGGACTGTCTCTACCTAAACACAGGATCCCCAATCTTATCTATTAGTGTGGCGAGATGAACATATGTTTGAATAAATGCTTGCTGAATTTAACAATGTATGAATAATTTTCTTGGTGGATTTTTATTAATGGAAAGAAATGAGGTAACATGTCACTAAAGAACGAACATTTCTACTTTCAAATAAGGAAGGGAATTTATTGTAGTGAAATTACATTCAAATTTTACATATGGCCCCTCAATGCACATAGATTGTTTATCCCCACACTGCTGGATAAGAAGTCGTGTGACCGCAGGCAGACCCCCAAAGTGCTCTCCATGAGTTAATGTGGATGTAATGCATTGTCACCAGTCTACTCACATTCAATTTGATGATTGAAAGGGTGCGTTTAAGTACTTTATATATTTTTTCATCATGGAGTTTGCAGTGCCTTTGATAACTCCCAACACTGAACTTTATTCCTTGCGATCTCTTTCCTTCTTCCCCTGTGAGGTCTGTTATTACTAGGGTGCTTAGAAAACTTACAGCACAGATTTAAGCGTTTTTTCTTAAATGGAGTTTGTGGGAAAAGGTGAAAATTGGTATGACATTTGAGCAACATTTAACAAAGCGAAGATGACTTTGGGACACTAACCAGTAGAAAAGTGCTCCAAGAGGCGCACGGCGTGGGGAGGGTTTCTGTGGACCCTCTCGGCACCTGCACCTCGGCTATCGTACACTTTGTACATTCTACATATTGCACAGACACACTGAGTCTCTCCTCACTGAGGAGGCTCGACACGGCTTTCTAAAGGAGCTTATTCACGACTTTTTTGAAAACGGAATCTAACAGCAGTGCTTTGCACAGTCAACGTATTTACAAGACGCCACAGCTGTCATGCTGTCTGGCCTGTCCTAGATATAGGATTCTTTGGCATAGCGCAGCTGGTCGGCATCGAAGACCGGCTGGCTGCGCCTCCGCGTCAGAGAGTCCCACTTGCTCTTTTGCATGGCCTCCGACATGGTCCTCTGCCGGGGCAGCTCAGGTCTCCCTGGTACTGTCACGTGCCACAGAGCTTCCATGGAAGCGTGGCCAGCCCTGCTCTGTTCCCCGTGTTCAGCCTGCGGCGAGAGTCCGTGCCCTAGCAGCAGCTCTCGACTGCGTGGATTCCTTGAGTCCTCTCCCTGGTGAGGAGGTGGAAGAGGTGGCACCATGGTGTCCCCACTGCACATCCTGGCCCGCACACTGCCCACTGTTTGGCTTCCGTAGGCAGCGAGCTCAAAGGCCTGGTGCTGAATGGCCTCTTCATAGGACGGTGGACTGCTGGGCCCTCTGTGGTTGGCCTTCTGGAACACATCGTCTGTCCGGAGGGTGCAGGAGCCCAAGCCTGAGCCCAAGCCCAGGCCTGCTGGACCGTGGATTTCAGACCCGTTCTCCTGGATGATTCGGCCAGCAAGCTGAGTTTCTCTTTTAAAACCCTTCTTGCTGTGGTCCCTGGGAGAGCCTTTGGATTTCCCAGACCCAAAGCTGGGCGTCTTGGCCAGCACTCTTTTGTGAGAGGTAAAGGAGAACGACATGGAGTGCTTCTTAATGTCTCTGCTGGGCTTGCCTTTGTCAGCCTTCGTGGTGAAGGACTGATGTCTGGTGAAGATGTTTCTTTTGGGACTGGAAGGAGAATCAATGGGCGAGCTCTCAGAGGACCCGTCCAGCGAGCTGCTGGAGAAGGCTTTGGGGACCAGTCCCCGGGGTAACAGCAAGCCCTGGGTCACATGCCTGATTTTCAGGTCCCCTGGTCTCTTGCTCTTGCCTTGACCTTCAGGGAAGACCTCCTCTGGAAACGGGTCTTCGGCTTCCTCGCTTTCTAAACGGGCACCTGCCCGGGCCATGGTGAAGTCATCCTCGCTTTTGGTTAGTTTTTGACTTGCCACCCGGCTCTCGAGGCACACTTGGGAGGACAACATGCTGGGTTCTGAGTACCGCCGGTCTGGCTGGCTGAGCGAGCTCTTCAGCCTGGAGAGGGCACTCGTGGTGGGCTCCCGGAGGAAGTCACAAGTGTCCAGCTGGTCCTGGTGGTCCAAGCCCGCGGCCTTGCTGGGCAGTGGAGGCTGGCCACAGGGCGAGGTGATGGCACCGTGGAATTCAGAGTCAGGATCGGTGCTGTCGTAGGCTGAGTCGTTCTGCAGGGTGGACACGTCTGGGGGAAATTAAGGAACACTTGAACTTTTGTTCACTTCCTTTTAGAAGTGAACTTAGTACAATTCACCCAACTCATACAATTCACCCAGCTCTAGGTATGTTGGTGGAACGACTTTGGGGCTTGCTATGACAAGACATGTATCACATTAAAATTTTGCTTCTTTCTAAATTTATTTTGAGATAAAGAAAGTAGGAAAGGAAAATGAGTGAAGAGAGAGGAGGGAGAGGGAAGAACAAGAAAAGAAAAGACAGTATTTCACTGAAATGTATTGATCTTAGATTTTAAAACTACTCTTTTTGATGGTTCTTTTATTGGATCCATTTCCATTTTAATAGGCCCATATTCCATTATGCAGAAGTAAGTTCCTCTTTTTTTTTTTTTCTGATTGCCAGAGAAAGAAAAGGGTAAAGTGCCCTCCCGCCCTTTTTCTTTATCTCCTCCATCCTGTCGGGATGCGGGGCACACACACACACACACACATGCACCCAGCATGTTTTTCAAGCTGCCAGAGCTAAGGTTCAAACTTTGGTCAGCCATGTGGGATCCGCTCTCTTAACCACTAGGCTAAATGGCCAGTCCAAGGAAACAAGCCCCTTACTATAACTCTATCGCTAAGGTTACTTAAAATAAGCAGTTGTTTGTGACAGAACAGGAAGGGGGAAAGTCTGAGGAGGTATTGTAGGAAAATTCGAGAGCAAGTTTTTCGTGTTTAATGACTTCCTTACAGACCTGAGTCTGACTCGGTTTGTGGTGGTAACTGGTATACCGGAAATACTTCACGTGGTGGGCACGGCTGGCAGGCTAGCAGTCGCACTCAGTCACACTCAGTCACACTCAGTCACACTCCCCACAGTCACACTCCGTCCCTGGAGTGTTCTGTACCTGAGCTGTCGGTGTGTACTAAGGAGTCGTCAGAAGCGACGCTGGAATGTACTGGAATGTTCTCCCCGAATATTTCAAAGCAGTTATCGATGAGGAATTCCACCAATGTCTTCACCTGTGAAGAAAAATAAGCAAATTGTCACCTTAAGGAGGGGGAGAAGAATGGGGAAATAATGGGATCAGCTGCTTGGGAGGTGTCCAAAATGGGAATTAGAGATTTTTAGTGTCTGAAGAGAGCACGTGGGAATTTGATAACAATCATCTCTGTTACAGTTAGATATTATTTGGTGTTTTTGAGACACAATTTTTAATGGAAAAAAATTTAAAATCTCTTTTTGCGTGTGTGTGAAGAGAGAGTTTTGCTGTAGGAAATGTGTGCTCACTAGAGAGACAGAGAGATAGAAAGTGAGAAATCACCCCTTCCCCCACCCCTGGAGTAATGGCCATGCTGTAATCCCTTCTCCATTTTTGGTTTTGGGCATACATGCACATGTGCTTGGCATGAGTTTTAAGCCGCTGGGTCCGGGACTTGAACTGTGGTCGACTACATGAGAGTCCAGCAATGTAACCATTGTGCTAACTGCTGGTCCTAAACTATCTTTCACTTTAAAGTAATTGAATTTTTTGCTTAAGTAAGTAGTTTCCTAAGTTGGATAGTTTGTCTAATGAAGGGTGATGCACAGAAAGAAAAAACAAAAGGACTTTTCTGTCCCAGGAGATGGTGATGTGAAAGTCCGTAGCACTTAGAGGACAGATTCACTCGTTCTGTTAAATGCATGTATCTCAGAGCAGAACTGCAGCATCCGACACTCTGTATTTCGTTGCTGGAGCAATTCAGGAGGATTTTACGGCTCGGTTTCACACACAGGCGGTGAGGTCACCGCTGGGATGTCCCATAAATAAGCAGAGCGTACCTTACTGTTCAAGTCTTTCTGGGCTTCGAATGACAAGCTTTGGTCGTTCTCTGGGCAGAGCACGTTCGGTCCGATGCAGATGGCCAGATTGCTGGAGTCCATTTTATTGATCTCTGAGTTCTTGCTGATCAGATACAACACGTAGACTAAGTGCTTCAGCAACAGGAGGTTGGGCCGGGGGAGTTTATCTGCAACTCTGGAATAAAGTTAAGGGGTTCAGTTTCAACAGAGGCAGATGGTCCGTCTAGCTTTAGTGTAGTGAGCTCAGAGTTTCTGCCAAAACCAGACTTCCTTTGAAATGAGGAAGATGTATCTTCCTAAGTTATGTTGTAAAATGTCCACTCAGACAGTTCCAGTGGCAGCTGACATGTACTGAAACTGGCTAACCACGGGTCTCAGAGAGCTAAGAGACCCATCATAATCGGGCACCAAAAACACAGCTCTGTACTTATACAGACTTAGAACTGCGAATCGGAGCCTTCGTCAAACACTAGCGTTCACCTTTACATTAGAAAATCATTTTGTTGAGTAATCATTTCGCCATGTAGAATTTCATTCTGTTTCTAACACTGTGAGACTGAGTCTGTGATCATTTTTATAACCACCGTGAGGAATTTTATGGAGAATAAATCAGTTTATAAGGGCATGTTCATAAGTACAGTCAAGGCAGTGCTTAAAAAGCAACACTGTTACTACTAATAATAAATTAGGTTTTTAAAAGTCTCACTTTCTCCAAAAATAGAATGTTAAAAGCCCAATTTATGGATCATTTTCACTTAATAGGAGATACTATTATAAAAAAACTTTATGTTGAAGTAGACATTTTATTGATTTATTTATTGTTTTTAGGTTTTTGCCATAGGGTGCATGCACCTGCAGGAGAGGAGAGAGAGAGACAGAGAGAGGGAAAGTGAGAAATCACCCCCCAGGGGGTCGGCCACACTGCAATCCCTTCTCCTCCATTCTCAGGATTTTTGACAAACACATACATGTGCCCAATGTGATTTTCAAGCCACCAGTTCCAGGATTCAAAGCATGGCTGGCCATGTGAGAATCCAGCTGCCCTCACCGCCATGCCACCCGCTAGCCCCAAGGTGGACACTGATTATGAGGACCCTAGGATTTTCACTTTGGTACAGACAACTCTGTAAATATTACAGACAGTTCTGCAAATATTTCATAAAAAATATTGACCCAAGGGGACAATGACAACACACAGACAGGCTTTCTTACAGGGTGGCAAGAGTGCTGATAGGGTAAAGCTAGGTGTTTAAGATCTCTAGTCACAAGCAGGTCACACTTTCTCCTTACACATATAATTACTTTTGCTCTCACTGGGATTTGTTTTGATATAGTTTCCATTTTGCTTAATGATAATATAAAATGTACTATGGAATTTTATGCACAAAACAATGCCTTCCAGGTTCCTTGGCTATACTTTAAGGGGTATTTTATGGGAGAACCATTGCCTTGTACAACACCCATCAATGCAAATTGGGAGTCACCCCAAACTCCTCACTTTGCTGGTTGGCCTCTGTTAATGTTTTCAGGTCTGATCTGATTTTGTCTGCCCCTTTTTGAACTCATATTTGTAGATATCTCCACCTCCTAGGATTTGCGGATATTCAAACTTATTTCCCACTTTTGAGAGAAGTACTTCCTTTCATTTGACTAAAACTTCTTTTAAGCATCCAGGGCACCTTCTGATTTTTATTCTGGGAGAGGATGGGCGATTCCACCCTATTCCCTAACTGTCGCAGTTTTCTGGAACACCAGTCACAAATTGTGAAGCACTGGGACAGTTCGGTGAAGACCCAGAAGGTGATGTGGGGGTGGGTGGCGGGGTGGGGGTTGGGGCGGAGCCTCCCGGAATCTGCTGACTTACTGTTTCAGGGCCTCGATTCTGTCCTCCTCGTCCTGCTCCTCCAGCGCGCCCATCCACTCCTCGAAGAGGTCACAGGAGAGCAGCTTCTGGGGGATGCTTCTGAGGAAGTCCTGGAGGGGGAAGGTGAATGTGAGCTGGTTTATATCATGGACTGTGCGTCTGCATTTCCACCTGGCTTCCGTGCTTGCTGCGTCCCACACTGTGCCCGTCACTCCTGCACTGATTAGTTCTGGGAAACCCCTCTGAACTTGCAGTGTCTCTCAGCAACCTCCTTACTCAGGCATGGCAAGAAGCACCATCCCTACTGGGCAAGTTTTTAGGGATCACCGGATTAGGGGTGTGGACTTGGCCACAGGATATTGGACAGCATTTTCTTGTCAACATTTTGGGGAAACTTAGTGCATCATTTGCTGCTGGAATCTGGGATCACAGGAACAGAGATGTGTATGTAATGAATTAAAAGTTTAACTAAAAAGTTTGACTTCAGTATACGAGGCCAGCTTGGCCTCGCCGGGAGAAGAGCCCATTTCCTGTCTCTCAGAACAAGTGTGCAGGGAATGTCTGAGCTCACCTTGAAGACCACAGCCAGCAGGTGCACAGGGAGGCCGTCCAGGTCCACCTCACCCCCGGAGCTCAGCTCCTCCTTCAGTTCTTTGCGGGCTTTCTCATTGGCCGCTTTCCTGAAGATCCCTTCAGTTGAAGGGCCTTTAAGGCATAGAACGGTGAGAATATCCTGTGGGAAACAGGTGTGAGGAATGCTTAGCCTTGGCTTGAAGACACAACTTGCTGCTACTAATACATGAAAATGTGTTAGGTTGGAGAAAGACAATTCGAATAATGTGTAAAAACAGTCCCTGACTTCACTTGTCATACGATACCCTCTCTATGAAAGTCCCCAGTACTGAGACAGTCTTAGCAAGAGCATGAGGGCCAGGTTTTGCTTCAATCCAGTTGCTGTCAGCTGTCTCCCTCAACCCTGCCATTTTTCTTTCTTTCTTTCTTTTTTCTTTTTTTGAGAGATTTTTGCTTTAGGGCATATGTGCTCGTCAGAGAGAGAGGGAGACAGAGAGACAGAAAGAGAGGGAGGATCTCCAGGGGGATGGCCATTCTGCAATCCCTTCTCCTCCATACTCCTCTTGGGATTTTGGGCATGCACATGCACCGGGCTTGAGTTTTAAGACACCAGGTCTGGGACTTGATCTGTGGTCAACTATGTGGGGGTCTAGTAATGTAACCATTATACCATCTGCTGGACCCAACCCTGCCATTTTTCTAAGAGCAGGTAAATTGAGAAAACTAATTGTGCACATTCAAAAATTACTTTGTTCCTCCATCTTTTCAAATACTTCCATGTAACTACTGGATTTCTGGTCACATACTCTATATTCCATTTCTGTCTGCTGAGTTTTGAGAAGCTACACGTTTTCAGCGTCCTTAACTCTGACGTCAGAGCAGAGGGCCCTTCACTCCGAGCCCACTGGCAGGTACAGCCAGTTCCTAGAGCGTAAGCCGTCAGAGGCCCTGACTGCCCTCGTTTGTGAGAGCCCTCTTTCTGAGAGTGGCAGAGAGGAAAGATCACATCCAGATTTCCCAGGGATTGTTCTCATCTAATGGAAACTGAAGTGGGTTCACAGTAAGTGTGCACCTACCTGAATGGGTCTGGGAAGCGTGTCGTTCTCGCCGCAGAGAATGGACAGGGGCTGGTCAAAAAGCGATGCATGGCAGGTACAGCCAGTTCCTAGAGCGTAAGCCGTCAGAGGCCCTGACTGCCCTCGTTTGTGAGAGCCCTCTTTCTGAGAGTGGCAGATAGGAAAGATCAGCCCCTACCAGTTTAGTATGAAGATCACATCCAGATTTCCCAGGGATTGTTCTCATCTAATGGAAACTGAAGTGGGTTCACAGTAAGTGTGCACCTACCTGAATGGGTCTGGGAAGCGTGTCGTTCTCGCCGCAGAGAATGGACAGGGGCTGGTCAAAAAGCGATGCTTTCAATTCTGGCTCCAAAGCCCCAGGGAGATCTGATGAAGGGGAGAGCCTTCTCGAGAGAAAGGGCCAGGGCAGCACCTTCTTTCTCTTCTTAACTTCTACGGCCAAAAAAACAGGGCGAAAAGAAGAGTTAGTAAGCACAGATCCAGATAAGAAAGTGGGTACTTGGCCTCATAATGTCACCTCTGGTATGCCGTGTGGGGGAAAAGCTGTGAAACGCTGAGACAGCAAAGGGTGTGAGTTTTAATCTAGAAAAAACAACCAAAACCAACCACACTGTTACCAGGGCAACTGGCCCCTAAACACCAACACCATGGTTCCTCAAAGTCTCCACCTTTCCTGTTTTTACCAGTTGTTTGCTTCAGAAAATTATTATAGCAAAACCTAACTGCAGGTCGTAAGCAACCATCTTAATGTATTGGTCTCAATAAATGTAGCGAATATTCTGATACGAAATAGGCTATTTTAATTTCCTCCTTTGACTGGTGAACAAAATGAAACTTAGAAGGAGAGGAAGTCATTTGCTCAAGATCCTTTCGAAGATCCTTTTGAAGGTGCCATTAACCGGACCCACACCTGCAGCAAGCAACCACCAGAGGGCACTCCAAACCTCGGTGGGTCCCCTGGCAGTCACCTGGGTTCGCAGGTGCAGCCTTAGGACAGGGCCAGCATGGATTGCAGAAGGCCTGCACCTGGACCTGTCAGCTGGGTACTGGCAGTAAAACATCACCATGATATTTTATTTTGCCAAAATCCAGGGATGTGTGTACTTAGAAACTTCCTTCCTTCTTTTCTCTTTTTTTTTTTTTTTTTTTT